GTTATGTTTTTATCTAACACATGTACGTGCTGTGAAACATAACAAGTCTGGCTCGATGTCTTCCAGCTGCCAGTTGGAACCGACTGTGGCAGTCGACTGCAAAGGCAGAGGGGAAGTGCTTGGGAGGGACTTGCCCAGTCTCCAGTTGCCTCGCAGGAGTTAATGAGCGTGCCATGCAGGCAGCAATGGGCAGCTCCTGAGTGCTTGGTTCTGCTCTTCAGGCGCAGGCTCGGGCTTGGTCCCAACAGCTCCCTGTTGATCTGCCACTGGATAAGGTTGCACTTTAGGCAGCCGTCCATGCAGGTGCAATCAGGCCTGCTTCTCTCCAGGCTGTTCCCACCTCCAACCCCTTGGGCTAGCGGCTAGCGGACTGAGCCCATCTCTTCTCTAACTTTCTCTCCTGTTCCCTCTCTCTCAGTAGTGCTAGCAGCAACAGGAACAGACACTGGGCCTCGTTTTTAGCGGGGGTGAAGCACCAGTGAAGAGAGGCTGATTTACACTGGCTGAAGATCTGGTCCTTGGTGGGCGCGGGTGTGGCAAGCAACCATGCCATGTAGGGAGGACAGGGGTCCATAGCTGGGGATGGGTTGGGGGTTGGAAAGGTCCTGCTGCCTCGGGCCAGGGCCCTGCCTGCCGGCTGCACCCCAGCAAATCAAAACAAAATCTCAGCCCTGAGGTTGGTTTTGCTCTGTGTTTATCTGTGTCATTGACACGCTCTAATGCTCCGTCCCAGCATCACTGGCACCTAGTGGCCAGAACAGCGCCTCACCATGGCTACCAGCCCAGTATCCATGCTAACCAAAGGGGCGCACAGCCAGGAATGGACCCTCCCTCTGGCTGCCCCTGCCTCTGGGCAGCATCTTCAGCACCATAACAAAGGCAGGGAGGAACAGGCCCAACAAGCAGGGACTAGGGGGGCGGAGGGCACTCAGCGCCAGGGGTATGTGTCTGTGAGGGAGAGACAGCAAGAGAAAGGCAGCACGTGTGTTCAGTGAGCATGCCTGTCTCTCAAGGTCAGCTCTGTCTCTGCAGCCATCCTCTATGCACCCGTCCCTAGAGCCTAGTGCAGTGGATTCCAGGCTTTTTCATTGGCGGACTCCTTTGGCAATTTTGAATGGAGGGGCGGCCCCCCTTGGAAACCCCTCGTCTGTGTACATAGCTGAATTCGGGTCAGTCTAAAGACAGAATTCAACTGGAAATGTTGCAGGTGCAGGACAAGGCATTTGACGCAGCGTCAGAAAGGGCGCTAAGCTGTTGGCTGCTATGGTACGGCCAACACTTCAGAGTTTGGCCTGTAGGTGGGGGTGCGCGCGTACTTTTGATTGCTCAGAAAACCGGAATATCTGAACAGGATCAGAAACTTTATTTTCTCAAAAAGAAAAGGAGGACTGGTGGCACCTTAGAGACGAACCAATTTATTTGAGCATGAGCTTTCGTGAGCTACAGCTCACTGCATTGGATGCATTCCACTGCATGCATTCCGATGAAGTGAGCCGTAGCTCACGAAAGCCCATGCTCAAATAAATTGGTTCGTCTCTAAGGTGGCACCAATCCTCCTTTTCTTTTATTTTCTCAGTCACCTGTTGCGGACCCTTTAGACTTCGTTTGCGGACCCTGGGTTAAAAAACACTGGCCTAGTAGTGTGCCTGTCTATCCATCCCCACACACACCCATCCATCTCCATACACACCCCTCTACCCATCCATCCACCCCACAACCACACCCCCATTTCCCCCCAAACACATCCCCTCTGTTCATTCATCCGCTCATTCATCCCCATACACACCCCTCTACCCACCCATCCCCACCCCATCCCCCATACATTCATCCCCAAACACATCCCCTCTACCCACCCAACCCCAAACCCACCCATCCCCCTCTACCCACCCATTCCCCATCCATCCCCATACACGCCCCTCTACCCACCCATCCCCCTCTACCCACCCATCTCCACCCCATCGCACATCCCCCACCCCATCCAACCCCATCCACACCCCTCTACCCACCCATCCCCCCATCCCCCCACCCCGATTTCCCCCCAAACACATCCCCTCTATTCATCCATCCGCTCATTCATCCCCATACACACCCCTCTACCCACCCATCCCCACCCCATCCCCCATACATTCATCCCCAAACACATCCCCTCTACCCACCCAACCCCAAACCCACCCATCCCCCTCTACCCACCCATTCCCCATCTATCCCCATACACGCACCTCTACCCACCCATCCCCCTCTACCCACATCCCCCACCCCATCCGTCCCCATCCACACCCCTCTACCCACCCATCCCCCAGCCCCCCCACATCCCCCACCCCGATTTCCCCCCAAACACATCCCCTCTATTCATCCATCCGCTCATTCATCCCCATACACACCCCTCTATCCACCCATCCCCACCCCATCCCCCATACATTCATCCCCAAACACATCCCCTCTACCCACCCAACCTCCATCCCCACCCCACCCCCAAACCCACCCATCCCCCTCTACCCACCCATTCCCCATCCATCCCCATACACACCCCTCTGCCCACCCATCTCCACCCCATCCCCCATCCCCCACCTCCATCCGTCCCCATCCCCCCACCCCTCCATCCATTCCATCCCACCCCCATCCATTCATCCCCAAACACACACCCCTCTACCCACCCAACCCCAAACCCACCCATTCCCCTCTACCCACCCATCTCCACCCCATCCCACATCCCCCACCCCCCATCCATCCCCATACAAACCCCTCTACCCACCCATCTCCACCCCATCCCCCATCCCCCACCCCCCATCCATCCCCATACAAACCCCTCTGCCCACCCATCTCCACCCCATCCCCCATCCCCCACCTCCATCCGTCCCCATCCCACCCCCATCCATTCATCCCCAAACACACACCCCTCTACCCACCCAACCCCAAACCCACCCATTCCCCTCTACCCACCCATCTCCACCCCATCCCACATCCCCCACCCCCATCCATCCCCATACAAACCCCTCTACCCACCCATCTCCACCCCATCCCCCCATCCATCCCCACCCGTCCCCATCCACACCCCTCTATGCACCCATCCCCCCACCGCTCCATCCATTCCATCCCACCCCCATACATTCATCCCCAAACACACACCCCTCTACCCACCCAACCCCAAACCCACCCATTCCCCTCTACCCACCCATCTCCACCCCATCCCACATCCCCCACCCCCCATCCATCCCCATACAAACCCCTCTACCCACCCATCTCCACCCCATCCCCCCATCCATCCCCACCCGTCCCCATCCACACCCCTCTATGCACCCATCCCCCCACCGCTCCATCCATTCCACCCCCACCCCCATCCATTCATCCCCAAACACACACCCCTCTACCCACCCAACCCCAAACCCACCCATCCCCCTCTACTACCCACCCATCCCCCCATCCATCCCCACACCCCTACCCCATCCCCCCACCTCCCACATCCCCCCCCCCCCAACGCACCCCTCTACCCCCCACCTCCATCCCGCCCCCGCCCTGCCGCAGGCCGCTCGCCACGTTAACCCCTCGCTGCCCAGGGCTCGCGCCGACCGGGACCCCCCCCCCCGCGGCTCGGCCCCGCCCCGCGGGCCGGGCGCGCTCCTCGAGCGCGGGGCCTGCCCCTTTAAGAGCGGGCCCGTGGGGCGGGCGCGCGCAGGCCGGGGGGGCCGGAGCCGCCTGCGAGCGGGGACTGGAGGCTGCGGAGCAGCCGGCCCGGGGGTCCCGGTGCGGCCGGGGGGCTGCGCCACCAGGGGGAGCGCGGAGGGGCAGCAGTGGGGTGGGGGAGCCCTAGGGGGTGGGGGAGGACCAGGGGGGCAGCAGTGGGGTGGGGGAGCCCCAGGGGGCAGCAGTAAGGCAGAGGAGCCCCAGGGGGTGGGGGAGCCCCAGGGGGGCAGCAGTGGGGTGAGGGAACCCCAGGGGGCAGCACTAAGGCAGAGGAGCCCCAGGGGTGGGGGAGCCCTAGGGGGCAGCAGTAAGGCAGAGGAGCCCCAGGGGTGGGGGAGCCCCAGGGGGCAGGAGTAAGGTGGGGGAACCCCAGGGGGTGCGGGAGCTGCAGAGGGGCAGCAGTGGGGTGGGTGGAGCCCTGGGGAGGGGAGGACCAGGGGGGCAGCAGTAAGGCAGAGGAGTCCCAGGGGGTGGGGGAGCCCCAGGGGGGCAGCAGTGGGGTGGGGGAGCCCCGGGGGGCAGCAGTAAGGTAGGGGAGCCCCAGGGGGTGGGGGAGCCCCAGGGGGCAGCAGTAAGGTAGGGGAGCCCCAGGGGGTGGGGGAGCCCCAGGGGGGCAGCAGTAAGGTAGGGGAGCCCCAGGGGGTGGGGGAGCCCCAGGGGGGCAGCAGTAAGGTAGGGGAGCCCCAGGGGGTGCGGGAGCCCCAGGGGGGCAGCAGTAAGGTAGGGGAGCCCCAGGGGTGTGGGGGAAGTCTGAGGGGGGCAGGAAGCAGGGGGAGTCAGGAGCACAACAGCTGCACCATCAGGGGGCAGGGGGTGCGCGCAGGGGAGCAGTGGCACTGTCAGGAGTTGGGGCTGAGGTGGGGCGTTCAGGAGTCCGGGGGCCTGAGCTCAGCCGTGCAGGAGTCAGGGGTGAGCCCAGGGGTGCAGGAGTCAGGGGGGATTCTGGGCCTGGGGGAAGAGTATCAGGCGGCTGGGGGGGCCAGGCCAGGGGTGCGGGAGCAGTGGGCGGCTGGGGGGGCCAGGCCAGGGGTGCGGGAGCAGTGGGCAGCTGGGGGGACAAGGCCAGGGGTGCGGGAGCAGTGGGCGGCTGGGGGGGCCAGGCCAGGGGTGCGGGAGCAGTGGGTAGCCAGAGAGGTGAAGCCAGGAGTGTGGGAACAGTGGGTGGCAGTGGGGACAAGGCCAATAGCGCAGGAGCAGTCGGTGACCAGAGAGTCTAGGCCGGGGGTGCGGGAGCAGCGGGCGGCCGTGGGGGAGAGGCCAGGGGTGCGGGAGGCAGTGGGAGGCAGGCCGGAGGTACGGGAGAAGCGGGTGGCAGTGGGAGAGAGGCCGGGGGTGCGGGAGAAGCGGGTGGCAGTGAGAGAGAGGCTTGGGCTGCGGGTGGCCAGAGGGAAAAGGCCAGGAGTACGGGCACGGGTGGCAGCTAGGGTGAGGCCAAGTGTGCGGGTACAGGTGCCGGGGGGGGTGAGGCTGGGGTTACAGGAGGAGCATCTGGTAGAAGAGGGGAGCCTGGGAGTAAAGTATCAACCTCAGGAGGAGGGGACAGTGAGCTCAGGGGTGCAGGAGCGGGGTGTGGCCCTGGGAGCCCCCCAGGAGCAGGGTGTGGCCCTGGGAGCCCCCCAGGAGCGGGGTGTGGCCCTGGGAGCCCCCCAGGAGTGGGGAGAGGGCCCGTGGGTTCAGCACCAGCCGGAAGGGGAAGGGGAGGCGAGCCCAGGAGTGCAGGGGGGCCAGCAGGGAGAGCAGCAGGAGACAGGAGGGTTTGTCAGGGGCCTGCAGGAGGAAGGGGGCCTGAGGCCGGGCGTGCAGGAGGAGGTTCTCGGGCTGGGCGTGCAGGAGGAGGCCCTCGGGCGCGGGGTGCAAGAGCAGCCTCAGGAGCCTGAGTGGCTGAGCCCAGGTGTTCAGGAAGCCGGGAGGACCCTGGATGTGCAGCAGCAGCCGCAGCGGGGGAGGCGGCGAGCAGCACAGGTGTAGGGCGTGAGAGGAGTGAGCCCAGGAGCCTAGCAGTGCCATCCCTTGCCAGCGAGCCTGGAGCTGAGCATCCCCCCATAGGAGGAGCCTGGAGGGGCGAATCCTGGAGAGTCCCAGCCGTAATGCCACTGCCAGCCTGGGTGACCAGGAGTATAGGAGCAACGCCACCCTCATCGTTCACGCACCGAGCCTGGGCACCAAACAGCAGCACCCTCCCATTGCTACACAGTGAGCTTTGCACTGTAAAGCTGCATGCAGTGCTCCTGGTCACATATGCCAACAACTGCTGGAGCATGCAGTGAATCTGGCAACATGGAGCAGCAGCGTTTTACTAGCTTGGAGTATAGCAGAAGCAGCAACGCCTTCAGCGTGCAGTGAGCCCGGCAGCGTGCAGTGAGCCCAGCAGTGTCCTGCACAGTGCTGTGCAGTGAGCCCGGCAGCGTCCAATACAGCAGCCTCGCCGCCAGCTTGGCCTTCCTGGAATTTAATAGCAGCAGCGCCTTTCCCGTGCAGTGAGCCTGGCAGCGTGCAGTGAGCCTGGCGGCGCGCAGTGAGCCCGGCAGTGTCCTGCGCAGTGCTGTGCAGTGAGCCCGGCAGTGTCCAATACAGCAGCCTCGCCGCCAGCTTGGCCTTCCTGGAATTTAATAGCAGCAGCGCCTTTCCCGTGCAGTGAGCCTGGCAGTTTATACCCTCTCCAGCCTGGCAGCTTGGCAGTGCAGCAGCTGAGGAAGGAGGTGGCCCTGTGGGTACAGTGGCAGGGCCGCATCCAGCCCAGGAGTACGGCAGCGGTGAGAGACGGTGTGGAGTCTGGAGGGCAGGAACTGGAGGTAGAAACTGACAGGTAAGGGAATGCTGAAGACCTGTGTCCCCACAAATCTGCAGCGCTCTCCCTTGTGTGTTCTCGTCACATGCCCAGGGGCCGCTTGTGGAAGGGGAGCATGTGCTCACGGGAAGTGTCTGGCCTAGGCAAATAAGCGCCTAGTGAATGGCTAGCATGTCTGTGTGCAGCACTGGCCTGTGCTGGAGGGAGTCAGGACAGCTCATCTGTGTGTCATAGGCCCCACACTACTGAATTCTCTTTTAGTTTGGGCGACAAGGAGCAGTTCAAGTCCTGCTACTGTGGATTTTGAGACTGTGGCATGCAGCACAATGACCCCTTGAGTGTGTTTCCCTTCAGACAAGGTTTCCTGTAGGTTCCCTCATAGCTGGTTTCCCTTGTCTGAGGGGAAATGGGCAGAGCTCAATTTTTCTCCCAGTTACTGTGGGCGGAAACTGATGACCTGCACACTGGAGCTGCCGCGGTGGAAAGGCTCAACAAGAAAGAGGCCCGGGGCTGTCATGATCTGGGCACTGAACGACACCCATATTTGTGGGAAGGCAGAGGCCCTTGGCTAGAATAAATACTGTGTGATTGCGAACTGCTCTATCACTGCATCCCTCCCTTGTATGCGCATGCAAACTGCTGCATCTGTGCCATGTCCATGCAGGAAACCTGCAGCCAGTGTCCTTCATGCAGCCTGACGCTCCTGTCCAAAGCTCAGAAAGGCTACCAGGCACCGAGCCAGCTGGCGTGAAACGTGATGGGCCACTGACCAGGCCCCATTGGGAAGCCCGGTCCCCCTCCCACTCTTGTGCACCATCCCTCGGACAGGAGAGGGTGCTGAGATTTCTGTCGGGCTGATCCAGAACCCAGCTTGAGGATCCCTCTTACCTAGCAGCCGCTGGCTAGTGGCTGTTTGACAAATTTGAAATCCTTCCAGCCCCACACTGGCAGCTAGAAGGGGAAAGAGGGTCGTCTCAATCCCACCCAGGCTGTTCTGACCCTCCTCTGGCCTCTGTTGCTAAGGCCTTCCTCCCCTGTGGCTACTGCGACTCCAGTGCCTGAATTGGCTGGGATTTGTGCAATGTCATGGCTGCCCTGGGGATTCTGAACAGAAGGTGCAAAACTGACTGGAGGTGGGTTTATTTCACACTGCCCCTGCTTGGCAAAACTCTGAGCTGCACTGGAGCTGTCTGTCTGCAGACTCAGGCAGATGATGCGGTATCAGGCTCGGATCTGGGCCATGCTGGGGTGGCATCCTCTGCCATAGAGGCTAGAGACCCTTTCAAAAATCAAAACTTAAACCCTGCTGAAACTGGTAGCTGGACCTTCCTGCTTCCCCAGGACAAACTGCTAGCTGAGAGGTTTCAGAGTAACAGCCGTGTTAGTCTGTATTCGCAAAAAGAAAAGGAGGACTTGTGGCACCTTAGAGACTAACCAATTTATTTGAGCATGAGCTTTCGTGAGCTACAGTGGCTCACGAAAGCTCATGCTCAAATAAATTGGTTAGTCTCTAAGGTGCCACAAGTACTCCTTTTCTTTTTGCTAGCTGAGAGGGCAGGAAGGTTGCTGCGGGAGAAAATGTTGTGTAGGAAGCTGCTCTGGGGCACTTGTCTATGTCACCGTCTCAGGGAAAGGGTTAACCCCAGCCCCAGACTGAATTGCCTTTGACACCGTTGTGTGACTCCCTTGACTTCTCAGATACTTGCAGACAGACAGGGCAGTTCTTCCCTGGGCTACTGCAGACACACATTTACCCTCCCCACGTGCTCCTTCTCCCCAGTGCTCTGAGCCACCCGTTGGACAAAACCCTTCCTCTGTGGTAGGGAGAGGCCCTGCTGCTTTCCCTGGGTACTGCTCTATGGGAGGGCCAGGTGGGGCATGCCTCCTCTTCCCAGTGGCTGTAGGACCTCCAGCTGTCTCCCTGAAGTGCCCCCAGAGGACTCACAAATAGCTTGTCCCAAGGGCTGAAATAACAGCAGTAACCAGCCCACCTGAGAGCTGGGGGACTCAGGGGCTGGCTGTACCACAGCAGAGGCGCTCAGGCTGTGGGGTCAAGCAGCAAGGGAGCTGGGTCAGAAGGCGGGGAGGGGGACTGCGTTCCCGACTCCAGAGGGCGTAGAGCAGAATTTCAGAGAGACACTATCCGCATATCCCAAAGCAGAATTTCTTTGCCTCTCTTCTCCTGTTCCTACTAATACGGCTACTGATCGGGCCATGCTGGCCCGGCTTGCTGCTTCCCTTTTACCAACCCCATGGGGAAACACTCTTGCGAACATTTCTCCTCTGACTGGGTTTGGCAGATCCCTTAGGTGTTGGGGGACTCGGGACTCCTGGGTTCCCTCCCCAGCTCTGCCGCTAGCTTGGGCAAGTCCTTGATCTGCTCAGAGGTTCAATTCACTCACCTGTGAAACAGGGATGATCATTTCTGCCACTTAGGTGTGTGCAGATGGCACGCACAGTGCAAGTGTTAACTACGTATAATTACCGTGCTGGCAGAGTGGCTGGAACATTGCTGAAGCAGACAGCTAGGGGGCTGATGATTGTCATGGTGGTGCTGGCTGCAGGTTGGGTCCCTGAAGCTCAAGGGTGTTTAGACCCGCACTTGTGTTGGGGGCCCGTCCCCCTTGGGTGCCTCTGATCTGGGTTAATCTCCCCTGCAGGGCTCTGCTTTTCCCACTTGCTTCCAAGAGGTCATTGTTCTTATCACGCCGAGCTCGATGCCAGCGCTGGGACTGAAAGTACCATGGGCTGCACCTCCAGCAGCCCCACTGCGAGCAGCCTCTCCTAGCTGGCTCAGCCCTCCCTCCTCTCAGCTCTGGCATGGGTACTGCTCAGCTCCCACTGAAATCCGAGGGAGCTGCCGACCCCAGCTTGTCTGGTGTCTGGCCAGCGCAGTGCAGACCTGGACCCATCCCGCCCTTGGCCCCTCCGCTGAGGCTGCCAGTGAGGGGCTGCTGGTAGTGTGGACACCTGCCTGCTAGGAACAGCTGGAGGCTAGGTTGCTTCACAGAGGGGGGTGGACAGCCAGAGCTGCTAGCCTGGGCTGCATTCAGGTCAGCACCAGGTTCTGTGACCTGGTACCGATCCCTCGAGCTGCCCAGGCCTCACTGGCCTGGGTCTCGATAGCGCCGTGCTTTGGGCCGGGACTGGGGAGCAGGCTCTGGGTGCATGGCAAGGCGGGCAGGGGATTGTGGGTAAGGCTCCGGGCTGGCGCGCTGCCCGTCTCTGTGATTTCCCCTCTCTCTGGCTCCTCGGCAGCTGGCAGCTCTGTGGCTGCGCCCAGGGTGCTGCGTGTGGGTGTCGGGCTGAGTGACTCAGTCTGCGAGTGGAAACCCTGCGAGCGCTTTGCCCATCCTGGGAAAGGCAGCTGGGTCCCCGGGCCTGCGTGCGCACCTCGGTGTGCAGGGACTGGACCAGGAGAGCCAGACATCCAGAACATCCCGCCAAAACAGAGGCCGGCTGCTCCTGTGCAGCTGCTCCCAGCCCATTGCTGTGAGGCTCCACAGTGGAGAACGGCTCCCACAGCAGGGCCATAAATCCTCGCCTGCTGCCAGGCTGTGTTTTGTTTCCAGGTGGGGTGCAGCTCTGGCTGGCCACCAGGCTGGCTCTCGCCAGGGTCCTCCTCCCGGGGAAGCCCTCTGGAGGGGTGGGGACTTGCTCACTGGCTCTCAGGTGCCCTGTGGCAGGCACCGTGCCTCGGGCAAGACGGCAGCACCCTCAGCTAATGGGGATCCAGCCAGGATGCTCCATTCTGCATCCCTCCGTGTCCCCCGCCAGCTTCACTGGGAGGAGCTATTTGCTTCCCGTTATGAACTGCTGCGCAGTGTTGCTGGGTGGCCAGTAAACAGCGCGCATTCCACCCCAGAGGTGGCTGCATGTCTGTGGTGAGTGAAGCAATTTGTAGCGTGTACAGCGTGTTGGAATCTGGCTGGAAGGGACCTTACAGACGCTGCTCGCTCCTGTAGAGTGGAGGAGTCCAGCGGGGAGAGGGAAGGATGGAGGGGGCGCTCATTGGCTGTGTTGCATTCTCCTGCCTGGTTCTCTTGACTTTGCTGGTAATTAACTGTGCTCTTGGCCTCTTCCATAGCAGGATTGCCTTGCCCTGCAGCTGGGACCTCACCGGGCCTTGCTCCCAGTCAACCTGGCAAGGGCAGGGTGGCTGAGATCCCCTGCAATGAACTGGTGAGAGAGAGGGAATGTCCGTGTCCATGTCCACTGCTGGCCCGCCCCATCCTGCTCCTGCGGGACTCCTTGTGAGGAAGGGGCATTTCTATGCACTGGGGTGGGACCAGGATCTGGCCCTGCTTTCTCTGTGGGCCCCACAGGGGCAGCAGTCCTGCAGCTGTGCTCAAGCTGTGCCGTGCACAGGAGGTTGGCTGAGCACCCTGAGCACAGTCCTGGCAGCCAGAAGCTCTCGAGTTCCGTCCTGTCTCTGCCACAGACTCCCTCCGTCAAGTCGCTGCCTGCGCGTGCTTCAGTTTCCCGCCTGTAGCAGGGTGATCCTGGGGCTGTGTACTTGTCAGGTGCTGAGCGCGTTAATCAGTGGCTATGCCAGTGCCATTAGCGCAGGGAGCTCCGTCTCAGGCCTGCTCCCGCTCCCGCTGAAGCCAGAGCTTGCCTCTGGATCAGTCTCTGAAATAGCAGCCAGCCCTGAGCAGGCCCAGCCGCTGCTGCTCGTCCGCCCGCCCTCGGGGTTCCTTTGAGAGAAGGGTGCTGCTGGCTCCTGTGAGTGCTGACACCACGGCTCAGACACCACGGCACTGTCTTGGCCCCAAGCTTTCCATTCCCCTCCTGTGCAGGAAGGCCTGGATTTGGGCTTAGGTTAGAGGAGATAAAGGAGCCTGTTTATAGCCCTCGGGCTCAGCCAGTCACCTGTCTTCTGCCCCGGATAGCTCCTCTGTGCCTCTTGGCGTGGGGAGAAGAGTCCAGTCTCCAGTTTACAATCCAGGCTTGGAGAGGCTGATTCAGGGGTCTGAGCTTGGTTCTGCACAGCTGTGCAGCTTCCTGTGGTGGGCTGA